TTTGTATCTCAAATCAATCAATCGTGTTCAATCCTCTCAAAGTAACGTTCTCGTAGCAATGGGTACCAAATCAATCAATTTCTCTCACTAGAAACAAGGAAAAGAAAAGAAACATCACCTTTTGTGACAGTATAATACCTAACATAACTGTGGGAAGGACAACAAATAATAGAACCTCAATTTCAGAGGTCCTCCAACAGGCAAGACAAATAATCATAAACTATTCTCGAATTAATTTATATACCACAGATTGTCAAGCATGACACAAGAACCTTCTTTGGTGTCCCATCATTCTTCTATGAGCTGACAACATTGCTCAGAAACATTTTCTGAAGTTAAATTATCAGAATGCTTAGGAAAAATTCTTCCTCTCATTCCCTCTATTGGTGCCAGTCCCTAGCATCGAACCTTAAAGACTAGGGCAGAGGAAAAAGAGATGATGAAATGGTATAACCCTCCCAAAACTATAAGGGCCATCTTCCAATCAACAAGATTTTGCCACATGTTCAAATATAGGATCCAACTCTTTAAGTTGAAACCAAAGACTATGTCAAACTTATTTGAATCTGACAAGATATGATATATGTACCAACATTAGTTCCACAGCTGACTCGTAATCTGATTTTTGGTTTTGGCTTTGACTTCCTGGAGAGAAGGTACTTATGTCTCGTCACCAAGAACACAAGAAAAGGCCAACTGGTCCCTTACATCGGCATTATTAGGAGACTGTATCTAGAAAACAATCTCATGGCGCTATTCAATTTAATGCAGAAGATTGGTCCTGGATCTATACTCTATTTGGAACTGTTGTCATGCTAACTTTTAGTGTAAGTTTTCAAGTAAACCACACTTAAGTTTGATACGTCCTTTTTCGATTTGAAATATCTAGTGTATCTATATGTAATCACAGTCAACAAAAGAACGACTGAGCTTAGGACTAAGAAATATAAACCAAGCTTATCCGGTTAGACAGGTATGATTTAATCAAAAGGTAAAGTTTCATACCCTAGTATTTTAATCATCCTCCTGAGAAGATCAAACTCTGAAGATCCTGGAAACAATGGAAGCCCTAGAAACAATTCAGCAACAATGCACCCAAATGACCACATGTCAATAGCTGTAGTATACCTGCGCAAGGTTAAGGTCCCAAAGCATAATTTACATCACAAAAAATCTGAACGATTTGGGGTGTGTGTGTGTGTGGGGTGGGGGG